CCCCAAAACCCCAAAACCCCAAAACCCCTGTGTGGAAAGTAGTAATTGAGATATACATTGTGGTTGATTTTGGGCTTAAAGTGTCTTTTGTATTAATATTCGAAATCAGTGATGAGCACTTTGATACCAGAAAGAGGATATTTTTCTGCAATTTCCTCGGCAGATCATTTGACATGAACTTATTTGCTTATATGAATAATTGTTAAAAACTCTTTAAGGCTTGATTTTGAAATTGTGTGGAATACTCTTTTGAAAGCATTTGAATTTTTATCATCCTTGTGGATCTCACTACAATCATGAATAGATAGCGACTTCATTCTGAATTTAATGGTTTTTGAGACTTGATACAGATTCAGCTTATCCTTTCAAATATGTCAACCATTAAATTCAAGTTTCTCTACTCTAAAGCAACTCATAATTATTCTTTGGAATCATCTTCTACTGCCAGGTGTACAAAGGATGATCACTTCTCTTACCACTTTTCCCATTGGCAAAGATAACTAGGGATATCAAGATTAATCCTCCCTTAAATTTTTAGTCGATAAAAGTGTTCTCCGTGCATAATTAAAGAAATTCAAAATATGGATCTTCTCGATGAAAGGGATTAAGTTCTTTAATTTCTCAGAACCTTCATTTTATTTCTTCTTCAAACAATGGATATGGTGATTAATGTATAACTCTTCTATTAATTGATTTAACATGACTTAACGGCTAACAGTCGTAATCATTGCAAAGGTTACAATTTACAAATACTATGATCAAGACCAGATACATCCTCATTCTCATCTCTCCATTCTAAAAACTAATAATTTTCTCTCTTTCTCAAAAATATCATGATAAAATCTCTCTGAATACTCTTCCTCTAACTTATAATCAAAAACCCAAACTCACACAATTCAAGGTCTCATTATGTTTGCAGTTCAGTTTCCTGTCTTGTCTCCATTGGCCACTCCAATAAATTTAATCAATAAAAGTAGTAGTTTTTGGGGTTTTGGGGTTTTGGGGTTTTGGGGTTTTGGGG